CATTAAAAACAGTAATATTGTGAAATATTATTACAATTTAAAATGATTGTTTACTGTAATTTATTACTGTGATGGCAAAGCTGAATTTTGAGCAGTCATTGCACCAGTCTTGCACCTTCAGAAGTTATTCTAATATGTCCATTTGGTGCTCAAGAAACATTTCTTATTATTATTGCTAAAAACAGTTGTGCTGCTTAATATTTTTGTAGAATCCGTGATAAAAAAGTTCAGGATTCTGTGATGAATAAAAAGTTCAAAAGAATAACATTTATTTGAGATCGAACTCTTTTATAACGTTATAATAGTCTTTGTCACTTTTTATCGATTCAATGCATTCTCACTTAATTTAGTTTCCTTACAAAAAATCTATATATAGCAGTGCCACAACACCAAAATACTACATAGCTAGTGTAGAAGTGATACGGCAGAACAAAAGAGGAAAGAGATTTTTTTAAAGAACTACTGTTTATTAAAAATAAGTGGCATTATTTATGTTTGTGGATTAGTTAGTTGTTCACAGAGAAGGTAGGCCTGGGAGATAAAATGGTATCGATATTTATCGACGGTACACCTTGTTCGATAACGATATAACAAATGTTCGATATAGTGCACGATATAGGCACGTGCTCTGAGTGACGCAGACAGCACACACAAACACGAACACATGCTGAATTGAGTGCTGTGCCTGCCTGTGATGAGGAGATTGTGAATAAAGAATGAATATTAGTCGAATTTAAAATAAACATTTGCATTTGAATGCTAGGAGTGCATCAGGGAGCGTCATCAGTGGCGCGCGAGATGCGGTGATGATGATGTAAGTGACGTTGTTGCATTTTAATGTTTTGTTAGTCTAGCCCACGAGACGCGCCGCTGCAGCATTATTCATTCAAAATATTAGAGAAATATAGAAGCTCAATGCGGAGAAGATCTTGATTAGGTTAAAACCGAAACCAAGCCATTCACACAGAACGCATATTCAGCGCATTTTTTAGTCGGACAAATATGACTGCTGCACTCGCGTCTCTCACAAGAGATGTATAGAAAGCCATGCAAAGTTAAAACAGTTTAAACTTTTAGAAAACACGTCACAAATTTGTGGAGGTTTATTCCTGTTCACTGCGTCTCATATGTTTTTAAATGCAATCTGTGTGATCGGCGCTTCGCTCTTTGGATTAAGCAACGCATAAATACATGATGCCGTTTTGTTCCTAATCGTTTATGCAATTTATGAAATTATATTTGATTTTTATGAGTTAATTTAGACGTAATGCACGTTTTTGAATAGAGTTACATCCTTGCGTTGACAATTTAAATGCGCTGCATTATTTTGCTCATTGCGCCCTCCTGTGGCCTCGGGAGACAAGACAAAAGTTTCCTATTTAATCTGGATATAAAACATTAGAAATGAGATATTGGTTTAATTTTTATTTTGTGCTTGATTGTTAAAACAAAAATATTTGTTGTTTGTCTCAATAAATTGGGTTAATTTAAAAATACAGTGGTTAAATTAAAACATTTTTTCTATTGCTCTTTTGTTTTAAAAAAGGTTATAAAACATGTCAATAATTATCGATACCGAACTATACGAAATATTATATCATTGATACATTTTTTAGCTATATCGCCCAGCCCTAAGAGAAGGTTTTTTTTTTTTTACCTTTAAATGTTAGAACGCCCCATGCTTTCCCATGATCCATGTTCTAAAGAAGAAAACATCAGTGTTTGAATTCACACACACACTCAAACATAATCATTTGCACAATTATTTATGTTGTTGCATGGGTTAAAATAATCACAGCTAGACTGACAATGCAGAAGACAAAAACCACACAAATACAGGCAGAACGTACCTCTGCTGTATAATCCACCTTGACTTTTGTTATTTTCCAGTAGCATGGCTCTGTATGCTCGTCCAGCCATGACTTGCGTGTAAAGAGTCGACCCACACCAAACATGCGCATGCCAGCCAGTAACAAAAAGAGGCGAGTTTCTTGCCGCACATCTTTCCAAGCCAACACTGGCAGCTTTTTGCCAGTGAAGGGTCGTGTCATGGTGTCGTAGTCCAGCGCATAGCGCTGGGAGTCCTGGGGTCGATTCTTCAGCTCCCGGTAGGCCCGGATCTTCCGTGCCATCACGGCTATAAGCCTCAGACGCTTTTTCTTTACCATGCTGCCTGGATGACCGATAAAAAAAATTACAAAAAAAGCAAAATATGGACATAAATATAACAAAACATCAGGTTTCACCAAAAAATTTCCCGTCATCATACACTCACCTTACAAACCTTGTAAACAGTTGACAGCAGTCAATTAGCATTTTTTTTACATACTATTGGAAGTCAATGGCTACCAGCAACTGTTTAATAACCCACATTCTTCAAAATATCTTCTTTTGTGAAGAAAGAAGAAGTAAACTCATACAGGTTTGGAAAACTTGAGGGTGAGTAAGTTTACAATTTTCAGTTTTGGGTAAACTATAAAAAACATTATGAAATTCATAGAATGTTTTCAGTTCAATTCAGTTCAGTTTTCACTCAAATTGTTATGCTGATGATAATACAATTTGAAATAAAATAAATAAACATTTAAAAATGCAAATACAAAATAAAAGCATTATTACTTGCCTTTAGGATTACACTGCGTATAAAGACCTGGGAACTCACACAGAATTATAATAAACTGAAAAAAAAAAAGTCTTAAATGGTTGTCTATTGTAAAAATCTATTGTTATATACAAATACGATATTATATTAAGTATTATATGAAAAATACGATTAAAAGCATGATACACTGTTACATGGACATGAATGCATTTTGCACAAAAACACTTGAAGACCTCAAATCTCCCCTGAATTTTAATGACTTTCAAATGATCAGTAATTATAAGTCTACTTTCAAATTAACACATTACGACATAGGTTTTCAAGTCATATTTAAAAGGAAACTCAAGATCATATCAAATCAGTATGATCAAGGTTATATAAAGACCATAGACCAGGGCTGTCCAAACTCGGTCCTGTTGTGCCGAATTCTGCACCCCTGCCAGATTATGCACCCCCTCGTTGAAGTCGCTACCTGATTGTCTAATCCCAACCCCACCCCTAATCCTAACCCCTCCCCCACACCTACTCCTAAACCTACCAATACTAGGGGATGCATAATCTGGCAGGGTGCAAATGTCGGCACTACACCGGTGTCCTGCAGAGTTTAGCTCCAACCCTAATTAAACACACCTGAAGCAGCTAATCAAGCTCTTACTAGGCATAGAAACTTCCAGTCAGGTGTGTTGAGGCAAACTGGAGCTAAACTCTGCAGGACACCGGCCCTCCAGGACCGAGTTTGGACAGCCCTGCCATAGACTGTAAAAAAGACATGCGATTGACAGCTATAGCTGACTTCATTGATCTAATGCGTATAACACAGGCAGCGATATGTGCATATCTTGCCAATATTTTGGACGTATGCTATATCACGTAAATATATCACATAGAGACATCTGACCAGTCACTACATTTAACGGAGCAGCTAAACAATCAGCTGCAGTCTTGCGCACACATGCTCCACGTGTTACAGCCCGTTGAATCATAGGATATTAGATATTATACACATGGACACAAACCACTTCAGCCAAAGTCGGCAGAAGAATAGCAAATGAAATAAATAAAAATAAGCGTGCATTTCACACCATTTTTCTGTCAATGACAATTATCTCACCTGTCTGTTTGACTTGACCCCCACAAATGCGTCACGCGCCTTCTGCTGTTCGTCAGTGAAACAGGTCCGCGTGCGTTTTCCGGTTCCGCTCAGCGCGAGCACTCACTCAGCCTCACAAGTGCGACGATCCAAGTCTTGCTTTGAAGGAACATCCCAGACGTCTTCCACTTGATTATTAAACCGTCCAGCAACAAACTTCATTACGCAACAATCTGTCAGAAGTAGTCTGCACAAAATTTAGAAATTCATCATCCAAAAGATGTTATATGATGGAAAATGTATTTTACTTTTGTGTATTAAGAGCAACTATATGATTGATTTTTGGAAACCTTTATTAAGATCTCAAAAAGAACAACAGACTAAAACATATTCAGCCCCATATTTAATGCATATATCATTTTCCTTGACTCATATAAAAGGCCATGCTTAATGTACGGTGTAGAAGCGAAAGAAGGAAGAGAGAAGACAGAATGAATGAGAGATTGAGCTTATGACATACAACACGCGTAGAACACAGCATAGGGACCTGTATATATTTCTACATACATACAATAAGCGCAAAAAGTGCTTTATGCATAACAAAAACATGACTTGCTTTTTTAAAACAATGAATTACAAAATCTTTAATATAAACCCCATATGAATTCAATATGAACCTCACGTAGAGATGTTGAACAGATTGAACATGAATCAACCTCCACTTCACTTAGCATCAGTCAGTTGGACAACTGCATCAAGGTATTTCCAGGGAAACAGAATTTCTACGGAAATACAGTTCAGATACACATCAACACACTTTGAGTAATAACTAGGGCCCAAAGTAATTCCTAGAGACAAGAACTGTCAAAATACACAGGCATTTCCCTCACCATTTCAACATAATGGTATTTAAAACACATTTATGCAGACAATATTCATCATGACGTCACTGTTGTGTTGGTAAGTCCAAGTTGTTTGATAAAATAAGAATAGAGTAAAAACATACAACGATTGTTCAAACATAAAGAGAGAAGTGCTGAGATGTCGGAGTGGTCTGTAATGGAGAGACATGAATATGCATTACATCAGAGGAGATCAGGTAACTTTTTCTGCCCCCAAGTGACGGCAGTAATGGAGAAATTCAGTTCACTCAAGGTGTATCGTTTGTGTTTATTGTGTGAATGCAAACAGTGTGTGAGTTTGTCTGCGCTTCAGATGGTGGCATGTTATTGTTCCCCACATCAGAACAGGTTCATGAGGTTCACATCTTGCTTTTGTCTGAAGAGCTGAATGTAATATATATCCAAATGTCACCTGATGGAGCAAACTACCTTTAGAGCCTTGAAAGATGAATATTTACCAGCGATGCAACTAGTAAAACAGGCTTGACTGACCTTGACGTTACTCAGCCAGCCCTGTTATCCACCGTTGTTATCCACAGCACACGCCCAGTGTTTATATAATGTTGGTTCTTTTTTTATTTGTGGAGACATTTTCTGATGTGTGCATAATGATGCATAATGGACGTGCACACGCAGCCTCAGGTCCAGCGGCAACGTTTCCGCTGGCAGGCCTCGGGGTCTGAGGAGCAGCCCTCAGAGTCACTGCCCGAGGAGGGTCCTGGCGGGGTGTGTGTGTTCGAGTGCGTGTGCGTATGATCCAGGCTTAGCACCCATCCCAGCTTGGAGTGAAGAAGGTGTCTGAGGCCGGGCGGCAGGGGCAGGACTCGGAGGGCATCGACTCCAGACGGGAGCAGCTTGCGCAGTCGTGAGCAACACAGGTACTGTAGAGAGGTGGGCGCGGAGACCGAGCGAATCACCTTCATGCTGCTTTTGGCCGCGGTGGAACACGCCATCGGAAAAACACGCTTATTCTTCATCTCTGTAGCTGCTACTCCTGCCACACACACAATAGACAGGTTAAATTAGGGCTGCACGATTTTGACAAAAATCATAATTGTCGATTATTCCCTTGAAATTGTAATTGCGGTTATTAATTACGATTATCACAATTTACATTGAATGATGTTTATGCCATTGTCTGATGCAACTGCATGCCGTATTTTTATATGAAAATAAACAAGCTGAAAACACTCCTAACTGAAAAACTTTTAGTGCTTTTCTATAGTATTAAGCCTCAAATGTCAACTATACATCGGATTGGTTTATTCTTTAAATTATAAAAAAGTTAAAATATGAATGGTATTATAATGTTATACTAAAATTAAAATAATGGGAAAAACCCTTAAGATAACATGTAGAAAGAAAGAAAAAACGCATCTTAAGCATGCAGAATAACATAAGTGGACTTTGAACGATTAATTGCCGCTTTGAACGATTACGTAATTGTGGCATCCATAATTGTAATCGCGATTAGAAATTCAAATAATTGTGCAGCCCTAGGTTAAATGTTATTAAATGAGTGTTTTAACTGTAATAAACCTGCTCTCCAGCTGTGTGATTGTTCTTTAGTGTCTGTACTCTAAAAACTAGGAATGCGCAATTATAGATTTTCACACAGCACTATTCGGTGGGTTGTTTGAACAACTACTAACTATAGCCTTGTATAATCATGTTCACCAGACATGGATAGGACGTCTCTTATGGATATAGGGGCACGAAGCACAACCTAACTAGGTAACAAGGTAACTGACAAATATCAAAATAAATAAGTGAAATAACTGTAAACTTGCGTGATAATTCATAGTTGTTACAAAAAAATATATTTTATGCACATTAACAGAAATATTGCTTATAGCAAGCGATTGGATTGGATTTGTTCTCCAAAACTAACTGTCTGGAAATGTATTGTTGAATTTTACAAAAATGGAAATTTTCTGCAGTGAATTTACAAAACGTAACAAAATATGGCACTTTTTTTGTGATGGCTGTGGCAGAGGAGTTTTAAAGGCAGTGACTTTCCAATAATGACAGTATGATTTTGAGATCCATCTTTTCACACTGAGGACAACGGAGGGACTCATATGCAACTATTACAGAAGGTTCAAACGCTCGCTGATGCTCCAGATGGAACAATTATTATTAAGAGCCAGGGGGTGAAAACTTTTTGAATTTGAAGATCAAGGTAAACTGTACTTCATTTAACTTCTGGGAAACATGTAAGTATCTTCTGTAGCTTCTGAAGGGCAGTACTAAATGAAAAAATATGATATTTAGGCAAAATAAGAAAAAAGTAAGAATTATTTTGGTCAAATAATTAACATTTTGCAGATTCTGCAAGGTGTATGTAAACTTTTGACTTTAACCTTATATACACACACACACACACATACAAACACACAATAATAAGAAAAATAATATAAAACTGTCTCTTACTGTCAATTATTAAATTGTAATACATGTCAAAAACATGTTTGTCTGGTTACTCTGACATTTTTTGCTGACAGACATCTCAAAAACATTCCTTTTACAAGAACATAACGGTTCATGTTATCTTTCAATTCCTAGAGAGAAACTGACACTTAAAAATGTGTATTATATTTAAAAAAAACAACAAAGATAAGATTGCAGCTGAAAGGAGTTTGTCATCTTACCGATGCACTTGCGGTTTTTGTAGAAGGTGAGGGTGCCGTGCCAAGTGTCCAAGTGAACACCAATAATGGAACCCTGTCCAAAACGTGATGAAAAGCTTACTTTATCACCGTTATGATGTAACAGACCTGAGAAAAACACAAACACACATTACATGAAAAACAATTCCTTCCACACCATGCGTTCATGTAAAGTATAGCGGTTTGTGAACACAAGTATGTGTTTGCGAACCGAACCCGTTTTACCTGTATATGACAGACCCCAGCTGTCTTCATCTTTACCCAGCAGGCTGCAGAATGTGTGTCTATATTTGTCCAGACTCACATCTGATGAGCCAATACCAACCATCTACATAAACACACACAGAGAATTCAACCGTTAAGTTTAAACATCCCCACAGTCTTCAAATCCTTCTAATATGCTGATTTGCTGCTTAAGAAACATTTCTTATTATCAATGTTGAAAACAGTTCAGTGCTGCTTTTGAACTGCTGTGTACATTTGACAAGAAGCATGCAAAACTACTCATTGCAATGTGGCTCACATCTTGGAAAACTCAACTGATTCAGCAACTCTCATCCCTATTAGCTGTATGCTGACAGTTATGCTTCAGTCTGCTGAACCAGCTACGCTGCTAAATTTTTCTTTTAATATCAGCCCTTTTTATACAAAATGCACTAAATAAGCAAACTGCCCCCTATTCACAAAAACCATACTGAATATCACTACCACACTAAACATGCATAAAGACACACATCTGCACTTTTGTTTCTCACCATGTCTGTGCCGTAGACTGGGGAAGTCATTTTAATCTCCCAGAAGTGCTGTCCCTCTGAGAGTTCTTTGGAGCCGCGAATGGCTGCCGTTCCACAGCTATACTCCGAGTGGAAGCTCACTTTCCTGTTCTCACAGCTCAGCAGCGTAGCAGACGACCGGCTGCCCTCATCCCACACCCAGTCAAAATCTGACAAACAAGTAAAAAGCCAATAAGAGAACAAGTTTAAGCATGAGCAAGGTAAAACTAATGTATCAATGTTGCATGTGTCACCACCTTGGTCATCTTCTCCGCAGTGGCAGTCTCGCAAGTGTGTATAACCCCGGAGCCGTGGGTTACAGCTGAGTTCCATCTGTGAATCACAGCTGCAGTATGACTCTCCCGTTACAGGCACTGCGCTCGGAACCGCCGGAACAATGGCTGGATACTCGGCTTCAGAATCAGAGTCACTGTACTGCAAGACACATGCGTGCAAATTCAGATCTGACATAGCTTAGGTCCTTTTGGTCTGTCATTTATGCTTTTTTGAACAGATGACTCCTGTGATGTTCGGCACTTCAGACAAAAGGCCTTTTCAAGCTAAAAAATTAAAGGGATAGTTCAACTAAAATGTAGATAAATTTGTTTCTTTATCCAAACAGATTTGGAGAAATTTAGCATTACGTTACTTGCTCACCACTGAATGCTCTGCAATGAATCAGAATGAGAGTCCAAACAGCTGATAAAAACATCACAATAATTAACTAAACAAATTCCTGTGCATCAATTAATGTCTTTGAAGTGAAGTGAAAGGCTACGTGTTTGTAAGGAACCAATTCATCATCAAGATGTTTTTAAACTATAAACTGTTGCTTCTGGCTAAAATATGAGTCCTCTATCCATAATATTGCTTTCTCCAGTTAAAAAGCCATCTTAACTCAATCTGTAAAGAAATATGCAGAGATCAAGCACCGTTTACAAGAGAAAACAGTCCAGAACAGTTCTAAACAAATATGTCAGTGGACTTTGATGTGAGAGGACAACAGGGGATGGAGGAAGCGTTAAAAAATCCTTAATAATTCCTATAAACATGCAGCTTTTCACTTCACAAGACATTAATTGATAGACTGGAGTGTTGTGGATTATTGTGATGTTTTTATCAGCTGTTTGGACTCTCGTTCTGACGGCACCCATTCACTGTAGAGGATCCATTGGTGAGCAAGTGATGTAATGCTAAGTTTCTCCAAATCTGTTCTGATGAAGAAACAAACTCATCCACATCTTGGATGGCCGGAGGGTGAGTAAATTTTCAGAAAATCTTCAAATTTGGGTGAATTATTCCTTTGATTGCTGCCACATCTACAGGCCTTTCCACATCATCCACACCCACCTGCTGGCGATCATAACCCCACTCGTCATTCTCGGAGGCAAGCACCAGCGCTCTTGCATCTGCATCCCGTCGGATCCCACTCCATACGTACCTCCACGCCCTGCTGTTTCTGCTCCGCCTCGACATGCCAACCAGGAGCCTCCGCACCTGTCAATCATAGAAAGAACAGTTGCTTGTTATAGAGCGTAAACAGAGAGAACAGACAGTCCTACTGGAAACACACAGCAAACACACTGTCAAATCAAATTCATTTGAACAGCGTTTTCACAATACACAATATTTCAAATCAGCTTTACAGAAATATGACAGACCTACAGACATATGTGACCTTGGAGCACAAAACCAGTCATAAGTAGCACAGGTATATTTGTAGCAATAGCCAAAACATTTTTGTATGGGTCAAAATTATCGATTTTTCTTTTATGCCAAAAATCATTAGGATATTAAGTAAAGAGCATGTTCCATGAAGATATTTTGTAAATTTCCTACCGTAAATAAATAAAAACTTAATTTTTGATTAGTAATATGCATTGCTAAGAACTTCATTTGGACAACTTTAAAGGCGATTTTCTCAACATTTAGATTTTTTTGCACCCTCAGATTCCAGATTTTCAAATAGTTGTATCTCAGCCAAATATTGTCCTATCCTAACAAACCATACATCACTGGAAAGCTTATTTATGATGATGTATAAATCTCGATAAAAAAAAAAAAAGACCCTTATGACTGGTTTTGTGGTCCAGGGTCACAAATGACAACTGTTACTTCAGAGATCTTCCAGTAATCACCATAAAAATTACGTGTGTGTTATAAACATAGTGTACCAAAATATTAGTTTGTCAGTAGCCATAAACATTTTTTATGTCCCTACCACGTGTTCCCCATTATATCTTCAAATAATTCATAAAGTGCCAAACGGATTGTCTTATGTGCGTTTTATTGTAATCCCGTTGAGCGTGAGGTGCGCTCGTGAAGCTAAACTTCCACTGTAGTGTATTTAGCGCGCGAGATGTAAACACTAGCTGGCAACACGCTCAGTTTAATTTCCAGTGATAAATGCATTGAGTCATTTCATTACGCATAGGCAGTCATTTGAGAGCTAGCTGACATGTCGGTATACTGTAGCTCCTAAAGATAGATTCCGTAAAATACATAACGTGTTCTCTCTGCTAGGCCTCGCAGAAGGTGGTCAGCGAGAGCCAGGCACCTTGCAAGACTGTAGAGATGAAGGCTAATTCGCTTACAGAAGAGCAGATCGCCTGCAGTCATGCTAATACTATCGAATACTATTTGGATTTCAATATTATCCCAGCCCATATGATAACAATTGTAAAACAGTGCAACAGGCTTCGTCATGTATACATGATCTTGGCGCTAACGGAGGCTCGCGGACTTAGCAGGCGCTACATCCTGCCTGCTGCATTCACTCGGATAAGCACAAGCACACTTACCTGTCTTTCAGGGGCACCACTGCGATCACTGGAGTCTCGTATACCTGAAGGTTTTAGTATGACACTGTAATGTATGTATCTGTAAAAGCAATCGGATTCTGTTCACCAGCTAACCGTCACACTTTCCTGTGACCTACTTTCACGACAGACGTAAACAATGCTTTAACAAGCCCCGCCTCCTCGGTTCAAATTCCATTGGTCAAAAATTCCAAGTAGGCGGGGTTTATTTTCTAGCTTGCGTTACTACAGGTCTAAACAGCTGTCACTTAAATGTCAAACTCGTCCCAAGACTGAAGGCTAAACCCCTTTTCTGACTTTCACGCTTCCCCATGCAGGCAAGTGTAGCGACAGTACATTGAGGCAGATGTTAAACTGTCATTATTAATGAACTAGATTACTTTTTGGCTGTTTCAGTAAGACAGACAGCTCTTTGCTGTGTTCTTCAACCGAACAGTTTAACAGACTATTTAAGAATATTCTGCTACATGTTTTAGAACAATCTGTTATCTACTGTTTCAACTTTGTTCATACCTACAAAAGTTAGATTTTGATCATAACATCTTGATTTAAGGTCGGTGTTTTGTTTACGGAATACATAGGCCTGTGTCATGCCTGTTTGGATTTAGCTTCAATTCAAAAGGATTAATAATAATAATAATAATAGTTGTTGTTGTTGCTGTTTTGTTTTATAAAAAATTAAACCTATTTTAGGACAATTAAGCTTCTAGACTTTTCTGGTTATATTATTTCTGTATAACATAATTTTCTAAAAGGAAAGTACATTTTAATTACTGTAGAAAACAAATTATGGACATTATATTAAATAAATTATGTAAAAATCAAAAGTAAAAATTCCAGGCCCATTATGAAACTTTTTTTGTGCATAATTGTCATTGAAATAATGTCACTGTGCAAAAAAAAAAAAAAATCTAAAATAGACCTTACAGATTATATTTTTAAGCTAAATATAATTATCTGTGACATTCACTCATAATCACAGTAGGCTAATACATGTTGCTGTTATAATCAAATTCAGAAATCTTCATTTGTACAAAGAATTAGACAAATTGTCTATTCTATTGCTGATGTGATATAATAAACTAACTGTAATTTAGCTAGCACAGTCACTTTGTATTACAGATGGGTCAATTACACCGTTTCTGGTAATGATGTGCAGTAAGAGGCCTGGAAAATGAAGGAGTGCTGCTCTATAGCGCCCCCTTCCCCCTGTGGTGGCGTGACTGCAGCAACCCGGAGCGCAATGAAGTTTGGTTGAGGCTGCAATGCGGTGATTCAGACAACCAGATGGTAACCTGTGGATTAATCCCTCATGTTGCAGTCTATTCGACTCTCTGTGACGTGAGAGCATCTTGATTATTAATGTATGGTTGCAGTTTCTGAATATATTTTAATGAGACACTCCTCAGATACCATTTGTTCATGTTCACCAGTGATAGATGAATTTGCATACTTGGAAATCATAATTTATGCACCTTAAATTGAAGGACATAATATGTTACAGTCCAAGAATTGGCTTGCACTTTGAACATCTGCAGAATATTTCCATTATCACATCACGTGTGTGTTTGAATAAAAAGGAAACTGAAATTAGGTTGAGGAAGTTTTATTCGGAAACTGGACAAGTTGCGCTGGTGTTCACCCATGAATGGAACCAGAAACAGTATCAACTACAGGTACAACGCTACATGTCTGAAGAATGTCATGTTAAGAGTTAAAGCACACGCTCGCTCACAGGCACACGTGTGCATCCATTCATTTCACACACACTTAGTAAACTTGCACATCAATACCTTGATTAAGACAACGGTCTCAATGGTAATCAATGATTACATACCCAAAGAAACTCCACAAATTTCCCACAGTGCAATTCACCTACCTATACAGACTTATATGTATATATATTTCTCATATTACACACACACACACACACTCATGTATTTAGATAAACATTATTTCAATAAAGACTTTGATCCATTTAACTGTTTAATGAACATCTCAAAATCTTCATAAATAATCAGCAGGAACAGAAAAAAAAACTGAAACAAAAACAAACTAATAATTCCATCTTTTTTTACACTTAGGTCCTCAACATCGGTTTCAATTCGAATGGTCCCAAAAGGGAGAAAACTAAACGACGGCTGATTTGTTCTCCAAATGAGAATAAAATTAAGACAAAATAAAAGAAGGATGACAAACAAGTGTAGCATAGGAGAAAGAGGACATCTATTTAAACACACACACAGGACGAGAGCAATAGCTACACAGCGCATTTACAGGGGGACGCACATCAGGCTACTATACACAGAGAGGAAGTTCAATCATACATTCACTTGCAAACAGCAAACTCACGATACACGCATGCACGCAAAAATTCCTCTCTCATCGTTTCGGGTGGTGAAGTTACTCAATGTGTATAATTTGGAGGATGTTTGTGTGTGTGTGTGTGTGTGTGTGTGTGGGGTTGATGGTTGTTCATGTGTAAGAGATGATAAGAGTGATTAACCCTTGGTGGACAGGATAAGAGCGACAATTAGCCCGTAGAGCCCCAGAACCTCAGCGAAAATGAGGATAAGGATCATCCCCACGAACAGGCGAGGCTGCTGGGCTGTGCCCCTCACTCCTGCATCTCCCACGATACCAATGGCGAAGCCAGCTGCGAGACCACTCAGACCCACGCTCAGCCCGGCACCCAGGTGCAAGAAACTCCTAAACACAGAACATGCATAGCGTTACATCTTTGTTGTAACAACATTTGTTACATTATGAAGACAATATAATAGACAACAACTGAGGTAAATTTAAATAATAATTACATAAAGTAATATTAGTAACAACAATAATTTACAAAAAGAACAATACCGTTAAACCTCCATGTACAGACACAGTAACAGTCTTTATATATTCTTATATAAAGTTGTATGTATGCATATATTATATTATATATATATTAGTTATAAAAAAAGATTTATCTATCTATCTACATACAAAAATTGGATTTTGTAATTATAGCAAAGAGTACATAATAATAAATACCCTATAATAATACCCAATTTATACAGATAAAGTAAAAAGTCTCTTTAATTGTTTATATACTCTTACGATCGATCGATTTTAATAGTGTTAAATAGTTTTGGTAAAAATATATTTTGCTTGTTAAACATTATGAAGTCAATAAAATGTAGAGTCATTAAAGAGTTCGTTCACCCAAAAAATGAAAATTCTGTCATTAATTACTCACCCTCGTGTTGTTCCAAACCCGTAAGACCTTCGTTCATCTTTGGAACACAATTTAAGATATTTTTGATGAAATCTGAGGGCTCTCTGACCCTCCCATAGACAGCAAGGTAACTACCACGTTCAAGGTCCAGAAAAGTACCAAGATGATCGACAAAGTAGTCCGTGTGACATCAGTGGTTCAACTGTAAAGTTACGAAGCTACGAGAATACTTTTTTGCGCAAAGAAAACAAAAATAACGACTTTATTCCACATTTTCGTCTCTGGGTCAGTGTGGCGGCGCTGACCCAGATCCGGCATGATGACAGATCTGGGTCAGCGCCGGCACACGCTTGCGTCATGATACTGTCGTGAACGCGCGTCATGATACTGTCGTGAACGCGCGTCCACAAGTGATGCTGTAGTGGTAGTTACCTTGCTGTCTATGGGAGGGTCAGAGAGCCCTCAGATTTTATCAAAAATATCTTAATTTGTGTTCCGAAGATGAACGAAGATCTTACGGGTTTGGAACAACACGAGGGTGAGTAATTAATGACAGGATTTTAATTTTTGGGTGAACGAACCCTTTAAGATTTTTCTATTTTAACCAAATAAAAAAATAAAAAATAAAAACCTTTCACCTCCATGTACAGATACAGTAAGAGCCTCTTTGGTTGTTTATATACTCTCACTACCTATAAACTCTAACATAGTGTTATATCTAGATTAGTCATATCATATCAAACAGATATTATAGTCAGCTATTTAAATAACATTTCTCAGCCACCAATAAAATGTGCTATTTTTTTTCTCTGTTTATGAGGAAGCTGAGAGTGACTTGCAGGAAAATCCTAAGCAGACAAGACACAAGCGAAGAGCATGACTCACTTGTAGAGCGTGATTCCGGGAGCCATGTTGTTGGCAATAAGTACAGCCACCACCAGGCCATAGATGGCAATGATACCCGCCATGACCACGGGAATGATGGACTTCATGATCAGCTCCGGTCGCATCACTGACATGGCAGCAATGCCTGTGCCACTCTTGGCCGTCCCATATGCAGCACCCAATGCTAAAAAGAAAGGAAATGGCAATTAACGTGCAAAAGAGAGCGAGAACGAGCACTTAAAATGGGTTAAAGTTGAATGAATACAGGACAAGGCACATGTTGTAGGTTTAAACAAATACCCAACTAATGAACACCATTCTAACACGTCTTATAAACCAACCCCCCAAATACAAACCAGCAGTTCCAGGAATACTTAGTAACCTTTTTAAGGCGAGACAACAGACAAAACCATAATTTAGAGATTTTGCTTCCATATCTTGTTTTCTTTCAGACTAGTGGAAATAAAACATCCAAAAAACACATGTAAGTTTTTATTTTATTACACTTTATCATCTTTAAATTTCAACTGCATTACATAAATTTAATGGCCGTTTTCTCAAAATTGATTTTTTTCTCCTGCACTGAGCCAGAAATCTCCACTTCAGTAGCACTTACATACACCAAAATTTAGTTTTCTTCCTATATATATATATATTTTAACGGTTTTTACAGAGGGTTGTGTTTATTAGGGCTGGGTAAAAAAAAATATCGATATCTCGATATTAATCGATTCACTTTTTTTACGGAACGATATCGATTCTTAAATACCAAGAATCGATTAGTCTCGCCTGTTTTCAGTTAATGGACAGAACATTGAAGGGCACCTCCCATCCAATAAATCGCAATAAGCATTGTGCTTTGGTACTTTTAATATGAAACAAAGTCTCAGATTTCAAATTCTGTCCATTGTATTGCAGTATTCAAATAATAAATGCCGTTTTGGCGCTGTTTAATGTGGAGTGACAGATCGCTGTAGCGCCTCAGTTCAACAGACACAGCAGCGCGAAGCCCACGTGAACTGATCATCTCCTCCACATTAATA